TTTAAAAGAGGGAAGGGGCATGAACAGTATTATTTAAAGATACTATAGAATAAACCCCAAGAACAAAATACACAAAAACTCTCAAGTACTAAAAGAAATACCTCCCTTAAAAAGGTCAGATAAAACAGACCACATAGTAATACTCACACATTCTGTGTGTATATATCTATATCTATATCTATCTATCTATCTATCTATCTATCTATCTATCTATCTATATATATATAGTGTGTGTGTGTGTGTGTGTACACAGACAAAAAAAATGAATCAGATGTGAAATATCACAACACCAAAACCATCAAGTGTAATAATAAATTATATGGTCTCAATTTACTTAATGATTGCTATATACAAAAGATATAGTTGTAAAAAGTATGAGTTAATAAAGGGAATTTATAAAGAATATTTTAAAAAATTTTTAAAGATTTTTATTGGGGAATTGGGGGGATGGGAACAGCGCTGGGGAATTGGGGGAAGGGGAACAGACAAGTTGCTGTCCTTTTGTTCCTCAGTTTAGTAGAGGACATCGCTTCACTGGCCCAAGTTGGCACCATCATTGCACTCTTCCTGGGCGAAGCAGATCAGTCGCCGGCTTCTGGACTGCAGCTCACAGTGGCTGCTGGCTGCTGGCTACACATGGTAGCCCATGGCAACCCACTGCAGCAGGGGCTGCAGCCTACGCCATCACCAGTGACTCTCGGCAGCCCAGCTCCAGGTTGAGCTGCTGTTCAGCATCTTAGCTGTAGAGGGCAGTGTCACTGGCCCTCATATGTGGGATCCGAACCGGGGTCCTCTGGCGTCCCAAGCCAGCTCTTAACCAATGCGCCACTTGGCCGGCCCCATAAAGAATATTTTTTAAATAATCATAATAAAGGGAAGGGCAAAGATATATCAAATAAATGCAAATTTTTAAAAAACAGTTCATCTTGGTATCAGACAAGGCAGAATTTAGTTCAAAAAGCATTATGATGAAAGATATTGTATAAGCTAGGGGCTACATTCACAATGAACATTTTTTTTAAATGTCTATTTACCAAATTACAGCTCAACAGTTTTCATGAAGTAAAAACTAGAAGAGATGTAAGGAGAAATATAAACCTGATAATCATAAGGGAATTTAACATACCTCTCAAAATAAAAGTAGCGTGGGCAGAAAAAATTAATCATAATACATAATCAGTAAGGTAGCTCTTACAGATTTGTATCAGCCTGGATGCACAAATTAAGAATACATATTTTCAAGTGCACATGGGACAGTTATAAAAAGCTACCATATGTTAGAACACAAAGAAAACTTCAGTCCCAAAAGCTAAAAAGTCAAAATTCTGATCACGTGCAATAAAACTAAAAAATAATTTTAAAAATAAAAAATAAAAACCCAACTCCAGGTTTCCATCAGATGATGGCAACTCTAAATTCAGATCTCTCCATATACCTTAAAAAAATACAGATCTATAAGGGGAGCAAATTAAACCACCACTACTACCCTTGTCTCACATAATTTCAAATTATGGGTGTGTAGAAAAATAAACACTGAAATGTAGAAGAGCCAGCTCTGGAACCTATGCTGAAGTGGCAAGTGAGGTTGAGACTGTTCAGAACAGAGGACAGGTGAGCAGGACCTAGGGTCGGTAGGATGCAGATTAAATAACTCTAGAAAGAGAATGCCCCATCCTAAGGAAGGACATACTAAGAGGTTTGAGACCTATTAGGCAAAAGAAGGGGACTTAAAAGTGCATGGGACCAAAGAGGCAGTCTCAGAAAGGCACTGCTTCTGGGAAAAGCACCATCTACCTCGAGGCTTGGTGGTAACGAGAAAGAAGAGGTAGAAACTAAGGATCTTGGTGAAACAGAGTAGAAGACAGATCAACCTTTTTCCCATTCAAAAAGGGAGTCATTGATTTAGAAACCTTTCTATATTATACCAACAGGAGGTGCTGTTCAACTGAAAAATCCAGCCATTCTTCCAAATCCCTCACTCCTGTTTATGTACTGTTGTTGTCTCGTTCAGGAAAATCAAAACACTTCAAAATGAACAAAAAATGGTAAACAGCATCCATATAAAGTTACTATAAGTAGAAAACATAAACTGAGTCCAAATATTTCAGATAATGAAAAGTCCCCCCCCCCAGAACATTCAACTACAGAGCTTACGAAAGCTACAGCACAATACTCTTACCTGAATTAAATATTCTTAAACAAGCATTTTCAGAGATAAATTCTCAAATACAAATTCAGAACCTCAAAACAAATGTACAAAAAGTGGAAGATATGAAAAGGCAATTTACTGAACAGGACATAAAATGAAGAAACAGAAAAATCATCTTTTAAAATGAAGCTACCATTCAAGGTACCTGAAGGAGAATAAATTTGACTGAATATAAAGGACATTGAGGAAAGACATAAGTTAGCCAAAAGAATTAAAATTAAATGAAGGTAAAAAGAGTCAGAGAAAAAAGCGATTGATATAGACAACAGGTAAAATTAGAGTTACTAAGAAGAAAAAACAATAATAGAGCTAATATTTAAACTTCAATACATGAAAACATTCTGGAAGTAACAGAAGGCTTAAATCTACTTATTGAGAAGGCTTGTTGTGTACTGGGGAAATTGATCCAGAAGGGTCAACTCTAAGTCACGTCCCAGTAAAACTATTGGTCTTTGAAGATAATTGAAAAATTCCTCTGGGTTTCCAGGCAGAAAGAAGAGTCTAGCAACAAACTTCTCACAGCAACATAGAAAGCAAAACAGCTATGGTACAAATTTAAAGTCTATGAAATTGTTAGCCAAGGATTTTATAACTATGACTCAATCCCAGGAAAAAGTAAAAACCATGATAAATCCCACTATATTAAAAAGAAATTACATGATGAGCAAAGTAAAAAAAGTGACAAAGTGGGAAGAAATATTTAAACTTATATCACAAACAGCAAATTTGCTTAATGAAAATAACCTCCTAAGAATCAAGGCAAATGACCAAAAACCCAGTAGAAAAATGTGCTAGAGATGAAAACAGAGTTCACAGATAAAGAAATGCAGATGACAAATATATAAAAGATGTTCAATTTTAGTCATACAAAGAGACATACAAATGAAAGCAAAACTAGAAATTACACTAAAGCTTCTCAGCAAAATGCAAAATTATAATACATATGAGTACTCTATAGACCCTGGGAAACAGTCACTTTGATGCATTGCTGGTAAAGATAACAAAAGCACAAAGCCCAGGAGGGAATTTGGCAATATCCAGCAAAGTTGCATATGCACTTATCCTTCAGTCCAGCATCTGACTTCTAGGAGTTTGTTCTAAAGACCTTGGCATAAAATAAAAATGGGCATTTGTATAAGGTTAGTTACAACAGCATTAACGTATTAGCAAAATCTTGGAAACAATCAAAATGACTACTAATAGGGAACTGATTAAATAAAGTATATGCAACAATGGAACAATCTCCAGGTAGACCGTCTCCCTTTCAAGTCACCTTTTTCCCCAGAAGTCATAAAGAGATGTAGAAAGTTTCCATGTACCAATATGGAATGAGCTGCAGAATATATTATAATATGAAGTGGAAAAAACCAAAGGCACATAACAGTATACAGAATAATCTATATGTAGAGAAAAGGTGCCAATGATGGAAAAGAGATTTCTCTAAATATAACTTGATTATATAGTTTTAATCTGAGAATCACGTATATTTGCATGTTCAAAAATAAAATTATATAAAAAGATAGAAAAGAAAAATCTAAAAAAGAACTGAAACATTTACATAACTATATAGCATTTTGGTGACATACCTACCACACAAGAAAAGGAACATTTCTAGTGACTTTAGAAAATAGATTTTGGACTGTGCCTTCTAATGGGGTATATTCAGTATTATTATTGTTGTATTGCTATTTTAAAAGTATTTTATGTATATTTTTGGATAACCTAAGTGTTGCAAAGTATTGAACCAAACCTTAGAAGTTTATCAACTTATTTGATATATCAACTTTCTTGTAACTTCAATTTAGTCTGGAAAGCCCTTCAACAGATTGAGTAAAGTGCAAATTACACAGAAAGACAGTTAACATAATAGAGTACATGTTATATGGCAACTGTTCTAGGTAATATATATATATATAAATATATGATACTATTTTTCTAAGAAGTTCAGAGAGGATGAGATTTAAACCCCTATGTGATTCCAAAGTCTGTTTTTTTCTACTATATTATTGCAGGATATACATCATATGTTGAGAAGAAAGAACATTAGGGGCTAAATGTTCTATTTAAACCTGTAGTTGCTGCTCAGAAAAGAAAGCTGCAGATCCAAAGTTAGTAATTTATATGTTCTTCATGTAAGAGCAATGTACTGAACGGGAGAAGTGTAAGTTTTCTCTTATTTCTGATGGGAAATAACACACACACACACACACACACACACACACACACGTCGTCTTATTGACGTTGGAGATAAAAGTTTTACAAAAGTTTCATTGATGACTGAAATTAGTAAAAGATGCAGACCAGAAGTATGACAAAGCAGAAAAGAAAAGAAAAAAAAAATTAGTGGGCATGGGTTTTCGATATGCTGTTTAAAGCTAAAAAAACCCTTCAAATCTTCCCTGTGTGACACTTCAATGCTCTTCTAAGCTTTGCACAGCCTTTTTGTAAACATTGGCCTTTAAGATACTAGTTTAAATAAGTTGTATTTCCCCCTGTAAAAGATGAGGACTGATGGAGATTTCAGAGGTGTTAGAGTTTCCCTCAGCCAAGCCACCCCTTCACACTTCTGCTGGTTTCCCCTGATGATAAAATATTTTCATTCAGTTCAATACTACTTTTTAAAAGATCCATCACTTGAAGTAGTTAGGGAAGGGGAATTTTCCTATTTTAATTTTATTTATCTGTATATAATTATGGTGGAAATTTAATTTATAATTCTATATACCTGATAACCATAAGAAAATATGTTGAATTTTCAAAATTAATTTTGAAGCTTTTCTTTTTTTTTCAGAAGCTGGGTTGATCAGTGACTTTGGTGAAGGCTGAGAAAATTGAAACCAATTTGCAGATGATACACAACTTTTAAGGTAAGCTCATATAACTCAATCAGATTGTAAGTGTTCTTGACAGACTTGCAGACTACAGTAACACACTAAACTAAAATTTGTCAGGAATAAATACAATACCCTGATTTAAATTTTACAAAGGAATTGCAGAAGTATTAAATAGACTTCCATTTCTGGCAATATGATAGACTAAAGATCCAGCAAATTTGTAAAATACTAGATTCAGTACTTAAAAAAAAAAAAGAAAAAGAAAACCCTTTAAAATAAGTGGATGAGCTTTTAAAAAAAAATAAGGGAAACTTTCTGGGGCTAGAAACAAAGCAAGTACATTCTGTGAGGTAAGCAAGTGCCAAAGTCACTGAATACTTCAGGAGCATCCCCGGATTTGTGCTGCCATAGAAACATGTGCAGGGAGAGGAATGGGGCCTGGCGAAAATTCCTTGGCTTCTGCAGAGTGTAGCGGGCCTGATCAGAGACCATTTTGGAGAAGTGTATAGCTCTGGGTAGTTCAAAGCTCCCCTAATAATTCCTGATTAGAAGCTCACATTCTCTTGGATTTGAGGCCTGAAATTATACTATTTTCATGGTCCCTAAAACTCCACAAATAGAGAGTTTTAATTTAAAATGGACTTGGGTCTGTAATGCTCTTTGGTACCTGGCAGAAACAATCACAATTCCTCCATGGAGGGAGTTATCAACCCCATTATCAAATACTCATAGTTAAAATTCTAATAAATAAGCTCATACACATATAAAAATCACAAAACATAATAAGGGGAAACAAATCAAAACACTTTGAGCAAGAGTCGGCAGATACCACAAACAACTAAAACAGATCTATAGAGATTTTATTAATTAGAATTATCCAATACATGGGCCGGTCAAGTGCGCATTGGTTAGGAGTTGGCTTGGGACTCCAGCTCTGAGCAGCAGGGCCCCAGTTTGTATCCCACATGAGGGCCAGTGACGCTCGCCCTCTACAGCTAAGATGGTGAACAATGGCTTGACTTGGAGCTGGGCTGCCGTGAGTCGCTGGCGATGGCATAGGCTGCAGTGGGGCTGGCTGGCAGCGGGTGTCAGCTTTCATGAGCTGCCGCCGTGAGCAATGGCTGGCGAGTGACTGCCTCACCCGGGAAGAGCGCAATGATAATACCAACATGGGCCAGTGAAGCGACGATCTCCACAACTAGACTGAAGAACAAAAGGACAGCAACTTGTCTGTTCCCCTTCCCCGACTCCCCAGTGCTGTTCCCCTCCCCCAATTCCCCAATAAAATCCTTAAAAAAAAAAAAAGAATTATCCAATACAGAAAATAAATGTTTAACATGTTTAATAAATTAAAAAAGGGATTTAAAAATATAAATAAAGAGTAACAGACTATAGAAGTGATTGGGAACATTCAAATAAGAACCTATTAGAATATCAGAAATGAAAATATAATTATAGAACTTAAAAATTAAATGGTGTATTAAGCCAGCATGTAAGGCACAGTTAAAAATAGAAAGAAACTACATAGAAGGCCATACACAGAGAAAGAAGATATAGAAAATAATAAAAGAGATTATGAGATGATCCAATCAGAGTTCCAGAAAGAGCATGGAATAGGAATGAGGCAATTTCCGTGGTTGCCATTAAAAACTTTCCAGAATTGATGAAAGACACAAATCCCCACATGTAAGGAACCTAGTGACCACTAAGCAGGGTAAATAACAGGAAACACTCATTTTACTGTTGTCAAGCTGTAGAATGCCAAGTGCAGAGTGACCAGTAGGTCACAACCCACATTAAAAAAAATACTATTCTAAATGGTGTCAACTGATGGTTGTTGGTGCCAATTCAACACCAACAGGAATCCCCATTTTGGAATGCAGCAAAAAAGGAAACTTTATTCAGTGTAAACAGCTCAATTGTGATAGAGCAGGGCTGTGAGAACAGCACAGCTGTGGAACAGCTCAGTAGTGTTACAGCTCAATTATGAGGCAGCACAGCAAGCCTGTGAGGTGGCCCTGGGGCAAGGTCCCTCTCTGGCTAAACAGATCTGATCTGTACTGGTCTGCTCCACTCTACTCTGGGGAGATGTCTTTGGTGCATCAGCTCCAGCAGGGGGAACACAGTCTTTTGTCTTTGGTGAAAAGAAAAAGTATACTCACCCAGACAGAGGGGAGCTGACTTATATAGACAGAAGTCTCGGCCCATGGTCCCTGATTGGTCTGTCCTCATGCAAATGAGGACTCCAAATCCTCATAGTTTAATTGATCCAAAAGGCACTGTTCTGATTGATCAGTGAAGATGCTGATTGGGGATATGGCTGTGCAGCTCTGAGTAGACAGTTGTCAGCCTCAGCTCTTTTGGCTGAAATAGATTTCCAGGAACTTCATAAGAGCTAGCTTAAATGACAGGCACACAGTGTAGGCAGACAGGTCAGTGCAGGAGGCAGGCAGCTCGGTACAAGCTTCTCCCTGAAGTGCAGTTTGTGTGAAAGGCCCCTGTATAGAAATGGCTGCTAGGCTGTTTTTTAAATTTGAGCCCAGTTAGCCACCAGGAGACCTTCTTGTAGGTATCTTCCTTCTCAGGGTCCACAATGGTATACTTAAAGAAGAAGGAAAGTGGTACTAAAAGGAATATATGAAATGAAAGAAGAAAGAGGGAGTAAAGAAAACATGAATAAATCTAAGCCAGCATTGGTAGAAGGAAACAGTAATAATAATGTCTAATTTGTGGTCAACAAACAAGGTAGAACTACAGTAGTGTACTGGCCTGCGATGGCAAGTAAGCTAGGAGGGGTTGATTGAAATTTCGGTATTCTAAGGTCCATGTACTGTGCGAACTGATGTATTTCAAATGTAACCACTAAAAGAAGACAAATAAATTGTTTTTCTTAATCCAGAGAAAGAAAATAATGACACAAAGGGAATAAACAGTAGAAGGAAAGAAATAAGTACTCACTTTTTTTCTTCTTTTATCAGCTTAGTTATTTTGAGATTCATCCATGTTGTGTGTATCAGTAGTTTATTCCTTTTTATTGCTGAATAATGTGTCATTTTTATGGGTATACCTCATTCATTTATCCATTCACATATGGATAGAAACAGTTTGTTTCAATTTTTTTTGCTAGTACATATTAAGATACTGTGAATATTCATGTGTAAGATTTTATATGGACCTAATGCTTTCTTTTCTTTTGGATAAATACCTAGAAGTGGAATAGGTACATTATACAGTAGGTGGATGTTTGGCTTTTTAAGAAGCTGCCAGACTTTTTTTTAAAAGATTTTATTGGGGAATTGGGGG